AAGCTGAAGGAGTTCATCATCACCATGCCCTTATTAAATGAAATGTTAAGGCGCTAATCTAAGAAAAAGAGGAAGATCAAAACTGTGAACAATAAAATGACAACAAACTCACAACTATCAACAACTGAACGTAAAAAACAAAAACAAAAACAAACTAAGCAAACAACTAGAATAGGAACAGAATCACAGAACTGGAGATCACATGGAGGATTATCAGTGGGGAGGGAGAGGGGGGAGAATGGGGTAAATGGTACAGGGAATAAGCAGCATAAATGATAGGTACAAAATAGTCAGGGGGAGGTTAAGAATAGCATAGGAGACAGAGAAGCCAAAGAACTTCTATGTATGACCCATGGACATGAACTAAGGAGGGGAGGGGGGAATACCGGTGGGAGGGGTATCCAGGAGGGGAGGGGAATAAAAGGGAGAAAAAAAAATGGGACAACTCTAGTAGCATAATCAATCAAATATACTAAAAAAAAAAGCTGGAAAAAAAGAATCTCTTATTTTCCTCTTTTTTCAGCATTGTTCATATGCTTGAGATCATCAGCTGAACATTCATGTGCACCGTTATGGCAGCACAGAAAGATGGCAGGAAGAGTCATCTTCATATTTAAAGAATGGTTTTGCTGTTTATGGAATTTGTGGTTTATAGTTTTTATCTGCCGGTGTTTTAAACATGTCATTTCACTATCTTCTTCCCTCCATTGTTTCTAATGAGAAATCTGCCTTTAATTGTATTGTTTTTCTCCTCTATAAGATGAGTTTTTATTCTCTTGCTGCTTTTAAGATTTTCTGCTTTGCGTTTAGCTTTTTTACTAATTTTATGGTTTAACTGTTGGATCTTCGTATTTATTTTACTTTGGGGTTGTTGAATTCATTGGAGCTATAGATTAATATTTTCATCAAACTTGAGAAGTTTTGACCAATTTTTTGAAATATTTTTGGTTGAAAACTAGACATTGTAATTAATAGATGATAGCAATTCTGGCGTCTGGGTTTTTTTTAAATTTGTTTTTTTGTTTATTTATTCAGGAGTATTTATTTTTTAATTGTTGCCTAGGCTTTAATTATGAAATCTGTCTAGTCTCCCTTGGATATACAGCTGCTGATGTCTCTGCTAAGTTTTTTAATTTGTATTTTTTTTAGACTGGCTTCCCTAGGGGTCTTCCCTGTGTCTGTATAGCTTAACTGTTAGTTAATGCTTTGGGCAGGGATTATAGAGGCTCCCACCGTTTGCCTATTGATCTATGTATCAGTTTGAGAATACCTTCAAAGTTGGACCAGTTTTCCTGCCTCCCTTGGCTTCATTTGATGCCAGCCTTCCTGGGTCTCCCCCACAAATACATAGCTTTCTGTTTAGCCAGGATTGTATGGTGAGCTTACCACAGACTTTCTGTTGCTCTCATTTATATGATCTTTATATTAATTTTCTGACTAGTCAGTCACTTACCCTAACCACCAGTACCTCAGCCTCAGATCTCAACTGCAAGTTTTCCCTGTATATTCCCAACGAAGTCTACTGCTTTTATCCACAAAAGCCACAGGTTTTTGCTGCCCCACCCTGAAATGTGTCCACACTTTCTGCCAACAAAGCTGCTGGATTTTTTGTTGTTGTTAGCTGCATGTTGGTAAAACTGCCAGTCTTGTTATTCTAGCTGGAAGTGGGTGGTTGAAAGCAACCTCAGGCTGGAGGGCACAGCCTCCCACTGTTCTTACCTGTAACTTCAGCAGTTTTTCTAGAACAAACACTTCTCAATTTGCAGGCTGTCTTTGGTTAATTACCAGTGCCTTGGAATTGTTGGTTTTGATTTGTCCAGTTTCATACTTGGTATCTGTGGACGGGAATTGCTTGCACATTTTCTTTTGTAGATGAATTTTACATTTATTTATCAAGCTCTCTAAGAAATTCTCTGGTATTTTAATTACATTTACATTGACTTTAGAAATTCATTTGCAGAACATCAACATATTTACAATATTGTGATTTCCCTCCAAGAACATGGCATTTATCTCCATTTCCTCAGACTTACTTAATGTATCTCCAGCAAAATTAATATACATAGGACTTGCTTATATTTTGTTAAGCTTATTCTTAGCCTTTTAAAGTTTTTTTCTGGCAGCTATTAATGGATAATCTTTTTCCACTCTATTTTTCTAATCATTTACTTCTAGTTTGTAGGTAAGTTAGTTTTTATGAGTTTGTATTAAGTTGATCTTGTAAGTAAGTGCCATGCCGAACTGCTGTAATAGCTTGTTAGTTTGTTATTTTGATTCTTTTAGGTAGTCTACAATATTACTTACAAATAATGATAGTTCTCTCTCCTTTTAATTGACATTTATATTTCTTATTTTAAAAATCCTATTGTATAGGTTACCTCTAGAAAAATAGTAAAATAGGTATATGGCCTTTGTGACTTTGCTAGAAGTATTTCTAATGCTTCATCATGAAATTGGACATTTATGGGTCCTTTTAGCACGCTAAAATTTTTCTGTTATTCCTAGTGTCAACTGGTATTTTGTCATGTACTGAGGTTATGTTGTTTTTCTCTTTTGATTTCCTAATGCCATTAGTAAGAAACACCCTATTTGATCAAGATGTATTATAATTTTAATATTTTCTTCAGTGTGCTAATGTTTTATTATTTCTGTATGTAACTCATAAACAAGATTAATTTAGAAAGAAAAATGCTTTGATAAACCATTCATTCCAAATTAAAAGAAAGATAGACTTCCCCTTCTTCAGGAATTGGGTTTAGGAGCTGCTCATTACTTTTCCATTAGTTAAATTTGCTGCCTGTAGTAAACCAGCACCTCATACTTTATAGCATCCTTTTGTGAGCAGTACAAAGCACTTAAAAGTCAGTTTCTTCATGTGTGATGATTGCTTTTCTAGCCTTCTGAGTTTTTCTGTTACTAAACATTCCTTCTTTATGTGGTATGTTCCCCATATTACTTTTTTTTTTAATGAAAGAACGTCAAGAATTGTTTAAAGTTTGTCTATCTCTGTTTCTCTTTGAGGTATATAGTTTCTCTTTTCCTTTTATCATAAACTTTGTGGTATCACCTTCTTCAGGTTTTTCTCTTCTTTCTGGTTCCTTCTGTCACATGCTCTGTGAAGCCTTTCTTGGTCCCTTCTTTTCAACATTACTCCCTAAAGAGTTGGACAATTTTTTTTGGTCTCTAAGATAGCTTATTATAAATTAAGTTACATATATAATTATATATAACATATAATACATATATTTCCCTTAACTACATCTTGGTTATGATAACAGAACTTTCCTGGTACTTTTGATTATAAGAATAGTCTCATTCTGGGTAAATAAGAGTGTCATAGCAGTTTTAAAAACTTTTCAAAATCCACTCCACTTGCAGGGATTATGAGGGGTGAGGTTATTCTGATTTTTGACATACTTTTCCCTTCTTCCATGTGTTAGGAAAAAAGGGAGGAAAGGAAAAAGACAAACATATTATTAAACTGGGTGAAGTTGTCATCTTCTCCTTTTAGGTTGCGGCTGCCTCTGGCAAACACTGACTGTTCATCGTTCCCTGTGGCAGGCATTAAAAGCTGGCTCACTGCCACAGGAGGATTCCTCCCGGCCCAACCTATTGGCAGCTGTCTGAATTTAGGACTCAAAGTAATTCACATCTTTTGTGCTTAGTTTAGGTTTAGGTACAGATCTGGGACTACAGGAGACCCCTGTCCAATAATGTGTGAAATTTATTTTAAAGTCAGTGTTACACAGTTCAGTAGAAAGATAACCAGTCTTCCAGAGGAGGCTATTAAATTATGCAGATGTTACAGAGTACTTCTTCAGTATAGTTTTCATATGCAAATGTTAATTCTTTATCCTAAAATAATTCAGCTTCTAGAAAACTTGGTCCCAGCATGTCATTCTATCACTGTGCCAAATGTATTATTTAAATGTATGTTAATTTACATTTTAAATTAATGAAACAAAATTAAAAATCACTTTCTCAGTCACTCTAGCCACGTTTTTAAAAACCTGAAATAATTAAACATTTATTAAACCTCTGGAAAAAATTCTTGATATAGCTCTGTGGTTGAGCAAGAGCCACATTTTAAGTGCTTAATTAGCCATGTGTGGTAGTGGCTACTGACTTGGATAGCACAGAACATTACCATCATCAAAAAAATTTCTGTTAGATTCTGCTTCTCTAGAGGAGAGGTGAGAATATCTTTATTACCATAGGAAAGTCAGATACAGGGAGTCAACCAACCAGTTACATAGACACAGTCAGATACATAGGCACCAACCAGTTACATTATTTCACAGAGTTCTTTTTTTTTATCTTGCCCACATGAGGGAAGTTTATGGAAGGGAGAAAGTTAACATATTCCTGTGCAATATACTGCTTTTAAACTTATTTGACATTTAGGCTTTCATATGGAAGTTTCAAATAACAACTATGGCAAGCCAGCTGGCAATGGAATTCAAAGTTCAAACATACCCACCCACCAGAGACAAACTCCTTAGTTCATCCTTTCTGTTTTTCTTCTGAATATTCCCTCATTCCTCAGGTGAAGGTTGACACTTCAGTCCTAAGACAAAGTAAGACTGGCAAAAGTAAAAAGGTGAATATCTGTGTGTGTGTTTGTAGGTTGTGGGAAAAGTGACTTAACTTTTAGAATAGAAAAAAGTTTTTTTTTTTACCAAGCCCTTTGATGTCATCTAATTGAATGCTTGCCCACATTTTACATGAGTAAAGTAAGTATAGAGAAAGTTATTGCCTAAGATTATATCAATAGTTAATGCTAAATCTGAACTAAAACCTATGTTTCATGACACCCAAATCATTGGCATTTTGCTAAATTATTTACCATTCCCATTTTAATTCTTTATTCCCTGGTAATTATTGTTGCAGATACAATAACAAGAGTTTTGAGGTAGGAATAATTTATTATAATGAATTTATTATTTTTAAAATGTTGCTTTTTATGTTTTAAAAGTTTTAGTAATTGTAATTTTTTACAGATTGAAGAAGAAGAGAGGAAAAAAATAGAACAGATGAAAGAAAATGAACGGGTAAAAGCAACTAAAGAATTGGAAGCCTGGAAAAAACGTCAAAGAAAAGCTGAAGAACAAAAAAGAATTCAGAGAGAAGAGAAGTTACATCAACAAGAAAAGCAAATTGAAGAAGAGAGAAAACAATTAAAATGTAAAAGCCTTACTAGAAATTCACCATCTAGAAATCATGCCACAAAAGGTACAATAATTACTTTAATGTTTTCTGGGAAAGTGAGTCCTGGTGGTGAAGTATATAGGTCACTTTTGTTGTTGTTTTAAGTATTTCCAATATTAGGTCATTATTTTGGCATATTGAGAATAAGTGTTGCAATACAAAAACTAAAATGAAAGATTTATTTTGTCTTCTAGGAAGTAGTGAAGTTTTTATAGTAAAATGAGCAAAGATTTAGTGTTGTTTGTGCTTGTGTGCTTCCTCTTGAAATTTATGCAGTGTTGTTAAATATGTGTTTAATGTCTAAAAAGACAGTTTGACTATCAGTGCCAGGGACATTCATTTATTTCTTTAGAGATAAGAAACTAGGGATTTTATTAATAGACTTTTTCTTCACCTGACTCAGTAAAATGAGTACTTTTACTCATTTGTTAAGCAACCAAGAGTTCTTCTGACCTTTGATCCTGGTATGTTCAAACATAGTTAAAAGAATATATTTTTTTCTTTTTTAAGATTTTATTTATTTATTTTTAGAGAGAGGGGAAGGAAGGGAGAAGGAGAGGGAGAGAATCACCAGTCTGCAAGAGAAACATTGATTGGTTGTCTCCCGTACAACCCCAGCCAGAGACCTCACCTGCAACCCAGGCATGTGCCCTGACCAGGAATCAAACCAGCAACCTTTCAGTTCATAGGCCAGCGCTCAGTCCCCTGAGTCACACCAGGCAGGGCAAAAAGAACATTTCTTTATTGAAAGCTAAGAATTTGATTATATGTCATCTGAGAATATTAAACTTTGTTTTGTGTACATCTAGCAAATGAAACTTTTTGTAGTAAAATCACTTGTATTAATAGTAATAATTAACATTTATTGGTGATCACTTTATGCCAGGTGACTTTATTGGTTGTTTCACCCAATTTTCACAAAAATACTTTGTGATAAGTGCTGCTATTTTTATTTTAGGGGAAATAGATGTTTATAAAGGATAAACAAATACTCAATAAGTAAGCCTATCAGATGCAGACAGATTTGAACCAATAACTGTCTGCATCAGATACCTATGTTCTTTCAACTCAGCTACATGTCATTACTACTTTAATGGTGAGGTCTAGCATAAGGAAAAGTCATTTAGAGTGAATATTAAGCAGTAACCATTATTAAATGTATATATTTTACTGTTATTTAATATTGACATATAAGTTAACTACCATAATACCTCCTTCTTCAATGGCATTTCAACAAAATATTGATACCAGCTAGAGTATATGAATATATTTCCTTCCATATTTCAAATACTGCTAAACAAATTGGATATTTTCAAATACTATTGGATCCAAAACGCACTTTCATAAATAAAAATTATTCTCAAAATCTTGATGATGCTGATTTTTACACATCTTAATTCAATTTACTAATATTTTATAAATGATCTTTATATTTATCTTCATATTGAGATTCACTTACATTTTTATTTTTAAAAATTTTTATATTGATTTTAGAGAGAGAAACATCAATTTATTGTTCCCCTTATTTATGCATTCATTTGTTGATTCTTGTATGTGCCCTGATAAGGGATTGAACCCACAACCGTGGTGTATTTAAACCATGCTTTAACCAACTGAGCTACCTGGCCAGGGCCTGCTGTGCTTTCAATGATGGATTTTAGATTCTTTCTTGTAGAAAAATATCTTTGGTTTATTGGTATAGGATTTTAGAAGTAGCTTTGATGTGTAACTTATTTAAAACTCAGTTTGACTGTTAAGTATAAAATAAGAAATAAATAACTTAATAATATTGTTTTTGAAGAGAGAATCTCAGAAAATATGTTTTCTGAGAAGTTAAAGGAAGACAGTATTCCTGCTCCTCGCTCTATTGGCAGTATTAATGTCAGCTTTACCCCTCGAGTATTTCCAACTGCCCTCCGGGAATCACAAGTAGCAGAAGAAGAGGAGGTAAGCATACTTCCTGTTAATTAGTGACCATAGTGAAAATGCTTTACTTTTATCTGTTCCAAATAAGCACTGGGTCTGAATTTTTAAAGTATTTATTAAACTAAAGATACTACTTCAGCCCTGGCTGGATTGAGCACTGGCCTGTGAACCAAAGGGTCACCAGTTCCGATTCCCAGTCAGGCCACATGCCTGGGTTGTGGGCCAGGTCCCCAGCCGGGGGTGCGCGAGAGGCAGCCACACATTGATGGTTCTCTCCCTCTCTTTCTCCTTCCCTTCCCCTCTCTAAAAAAGTAAATAAATAAAATATTTAGAAGATACTACTTCATGAATGTGTTTTAGTATTTCCTTATGAGAAAAATATATTTTGCAGGATTATTTTTTTGGCTCCAGAATGAGGATGACAGGACACTGATTTACTATGCAGTAGTCTTGCTTATTCCAGGGGATGATCTGTTGCATGTGCTATTTATTTTATAAATACATCATTTTCTTTTTCTTTTCTTAAAAAATATTTTTATTCATTTATTTTTAGAGAGAAAGAAGGGAGGGAGAAAGAGAGGAAGAGAAATATCAATGTGTGGTTGCCTCTCACATGCCCCTCACTCGGGACCTGGCCTGCAACCCAGGCATGTGCCCTGACTGAGAACTGAACCAGCGACCCTTTGGTTTGCAGGTTGGAACTCAATCCACCGAGCCACACCAGCCAGGGCTATCATTTTCTTTAACATATTTGTAAAGTTTAGATCAGTATGTGTTGTGGTAAGAACAGATTTGGAAATGTATGATTATGATATTATAATGAGTTAATATCAGACATTCTAATGTTTAATACTTTGGAATTAATATCTTTTATTTATTTATAAATTCCCGAGATTTGAGATTTTAAATATTATATCTTAAGTTATATAAGGACTAACAACTGCATTTCTTTACTGTAAGGTGTGAACTGATACCTCTTTCAGTTGAAAAATTATAAAGTTGAAGATACTTAAGACATAACGACAGTTTACAAATATTAACATTTTTCTTTTTATTAAACAATATATTACTTTTATATTTTATTTTATATTATATTATTATAAAATATTATTATAGTCATACAGTTTTTAATATAGAAAAATAAAAATATAAACTAGAAAAGTAAAATAATACATGAACTCCCAAATTTGGATGAAATTTGCACTAGGAATTTTTATTCTTAACCAGCTGCTAAAGTTAAAATATTTTTTTTTAATGTATAAAAATTGGAAGTTTAAAATCACCTTCTTCAAGTACTGTATTATTCTGCTTGGGCTGCTAAAACAAAATATCATAGACTGGGTGGCTTAAACAACAGACATTTTATTGAATATTTCATAGTTCTGGAGGCTGGGAAGTCCAAGATCAGGGTGCTGGAGTGGGAGTGGATGGAGGGAAGAACAAGCACATTGGTCTCTTCCTCTTTTATAAGGAAACTAATTCTGTCATGCGGTTCCTACCCGCATGATGTCGTCTGAACCTCATTAACTCCCAGTGGCCCCACCTCCAGATATCATCACATGGGTGGTTATGACTTTAACATATGAATTTGGGGGGACACAAATATTCACTCGATTAAAAATAGTATTTCTGTCTTATTTAGGAAGATGGGAAATCTAAAAGTAACTGTTAATAACAATAAGAACTTCGCGTCATTCATTAGACTTCATTCTCATTTCAGTGGCTGCACAAACAAGCAGAGGCACGAAGAGCACTGAATACTGATATTCCTGAACTGAGGGATTTAAAGGAAGAAGAAAAGAACCCAGAATGGTTGAAGGATAAAGGAAAGTAAGTTGTTTGAAGTCTGGCCATGAGATTTATAATATAGTTGTGTAGACATTAGTTTTTCTCACATTTTTCAGATATCTTAACATGTATGTTTGTGTGTGTGGTTGTTGGAGAAAGATAATGTAAATAAACAAATTAGGTAGGCAACACCTCCATATTAAAAAGTCAGATCATGTAACAAGTTAAGGCTCTTATTTTTATTTTTATATTTAAATGCCATAGAAATGAAAAGATTACACTTTTGGGATTGCTTATTAAAATCTGTTTTTTGCCCTGGCCTAGTAGCTCAGTTGGTTGGAGAGTTGTCCCATATACCAAAAGGTTGCGAGTTCAATCCCCACCCAGGACACATACCTAAGCTGCATTTTCAATCCTTAGTTGGGGTGCATGTGGGAAGCAACAAATTGATACTTCTCTGTCTCACATCGACCCTTTTGATGTTTATCTCTCTCTCTCTCCTCCCCCGACTTCCACCCACCTAAAATCAGTAAACATAACCTTGGGTAAGGATTTTTTTTTAAATCCCTTTTAAATCATTTACATTTTATAAGCACTCTACCTAATACCTTCCTTAAAAACTAGAGCTTTGATTATTCATATCCATATTTTATTTTTATTTTTTTTAAAGCTTTATTTATTTATTTTTAGAGAGGGGGAAGGGAGGGAGAAAGAGAGGGAAACGTCAGTGTGTGGTCGTCTCTCACATGCCCCCAACTGGAGACCTGGCCCACAACCCAGGCATGTGCCCCAACTGAGAGTCGAGCTGGCGACCCTTTGGTTCACAGGCTGGCACTCAATCCACTGAGCCACACCAGACAGGGCCATATCCATATTTTAAAAGATTACCAAATTATCTCATAAATTGTCATTATATCCTGGCAATCCTTTTCCCATTTATTCTATATATGTGTCTCTACATGTGAATATTTTTATACAATTATCAAAAACAGTGAATTCTGTACATTCTGAGTGGCAACTTGAATTGATATTTTGAGGCAATTGTAGATGATATTATTTATTATTTATCATATGTACCTTTTATTTCCTATTGCTGCCATAACAAACTACCTCAAATTGAGTGGCTGAAAACAATACAAATTGATTACATTTACAGTTTTGGAAATCAGAAATTCAGTTGGGTTTCACTGGGCTAAAATCAAGGTATCAATTTTGATCTTTGTGGAGACTCAAGGAGAGAATCTGTTCCCTTGCGTTTTCCAGCTTGGAGGCTGCCCAAACTCCTTGCTTTATGGCCCCCAGCCAGCAATTTCATCACTCTGAGCTCTGCTTCCATAATCACATCTCCTTCTCTGACTCTGATTCCCCTGCCTCCCTTTTTTTCACAAGGACACTTGTAGTTACATTAGTCTCACGTGCACAGTTTAGGATAATCTCCTGTCTCAACATCCTTAATCACATCTGCAAAGTCCTTTCTACCCTGTTGGTTAACATATTCACAGTTTCTGGTGATCAGTATGTAGATATCTTTGGCAGGGGGCATTCGCCGTCTACCATAATATCTATATATGTTCTTTTTTGGTCTTTTCTTATGTCTGTTATAAACATCAGAGACTGGTTTGTGACATTGAGCTGGAGTCGGCAATTTTTCTGAAGGCTAGAAGCCTGGGGCTGATTGTTTCATTCCTTTTACTCCCATCAGTAAAACCAAGCATGATCCTTCCTCCTATTTCTCCCTTTCTGTCCCTCCCTCCCTCCCTTCTTATTTATTGAACCATATTAAGTAAACATCTATTGATCATTTGCTGTTTGCCAGACTGTGAGTTAGACTCTGAGCTACAGAGATCAGTGGAGGAGAGAGACATATACCAATACTTACAACACTTTGTGGGTAGTACAATTTCTAGAAAAGAGCAAAGTAATATGGGACTACAGAGAAGGGACACCTAACCTCAGTGGAGGAAGGTAGGATCTGGAAAAACTTCCTAGAGAACCTAGTGCCTGAGCTCCTTTTAATGAAAAGTAGGAGGTTGAAGAGGAAGGAAGAGAAAGACATTCATTTCAGGCAGAGGAGACAGTATGAGCAAAATTTCAAAGGTAAAAAATAGTATGATATTTCAGGTCAGGAACTATGGGTCATTTATTTTTTGCTAAAACAAAGTTTGAGGCTAGGTGTAATAACAAATGTGTATAGATAAATAGACAAGGGCATTGTGTAGTTGATTAAGATTCTTACATTTTATTTTGTAAGGTGGAGGGAAACGTATTGCAGAAACTAAGCAAAGACCTTCAATTATGGCATTGTTGTAGGAGTGAAAGGGGCAATTTGAGAAATATTTAGAAAGTAAAATAGGCAGAACTTCTTGAATGATCATTGGAGAGGGAGAGAGGTATATCTGTAGGTGACTTCTGTGTTTTCAGTTTGAATGATTGATTGCCTGATGCCACCAAATGAATGAATTAGTAGAAGAGGGGCCAGATAGGAAGGAATGTAGGTAAGTTCAGTTTTGAGTATGTTGAGTTTGAGGTGTCTCTGGGTCAGTCTAGTTGATGGTGTCCAGCACGTTTGAAACTCGAGGCCAGCACTGTAGATACAGATTTGGAGATTATTGGCATTTATATAGTAGTTGACTTTTTCTTTTTATTTTAAGAATACGCTTATGAAAGCTGGGGACAGTGAGACAATGAAGAGCTTAGGATAGAAGAAGCAAAAGGAGAGAGCTTAGGAAGGGTTGCTGTGGCTCTCTAGAAATGTTATAGGGAAGAAATGAGCCCAGGTGGGGCTGCTGTTAGCTCACTGAAAAGTCCTAGTAAAGGCAGCCTGGAGACAGGTTCATGGGGTTAGCCCAGGGCGAGCTGCCACTGCACATTGCTCCCCTGGTTGCAGATCTCCTGGGAACCCTTCTAGTTCAGGACATGCAGGCCTGAAAGGGAAAAAAGATGTGGGCATACTCTGTAGAGAAAGAGTACGCTATAGTAGTTGAATTTAGAAGAGTAGGAAAGATACCCAAGAAAAGTGTTGTAGACCTAAAGAGTAATGGCCTGAGGGTAAAACTCTGACCTACCAGCATTTGAAGGTCTGTCAAAAGAAAAGAGTACACAAAAATACTCCTAGAAGCCAATGGAATAGAAACTTTAAGGATAGACGGGGGGGGGGGGGGGGGGTGGGTGGTGGTGTGTGTGTGTGTGTGTGTGTGTGTGTGTGTGTGTTCTTTAAGAATAGAAAAGGTTTGACTAGATTTGCAAATACCACAGAAGAGATGATTAAAATGTCTCCTAGAAGAGTGGTGAAAATTGTTTCAAAGCCAAGGGTAGATGGATTATCTTGATCTTGTATTTATCCTCTTGTTAAAAGTCACATGCATTTAAAATTTTTATAAAAATATGTCTTCTGAAAAAAATTTACACAGTGTGTATAAAATGCAAGTTCCCCTTGAATTTCATGCAGTCTATAGGCCTCCTTCCTGTCCTGCTCCTGAGCTGCACACACTCTAAGTCATTTCTTTTTTTTAAATTATATTTTGTTTATGCTATTACAGTTGTCCTAATCTTCCCTCTTTGCCCCCCTCCACCCAGACACCCCCGACTCTCAGGCAGTCCTCACACTGTTGTATGCATACATGTTCCTTGGCTACTCTGTTCCCTATGCTGCCCTTTACACCCCCATGGCTATTCTGTAACTACCTATTTGTACTTCTTAATCCTTTCACCTTTTTTGCCCATCCCCTACCCACCTCCCATCTGGCAACCTTCAAAATGTTGTCTGTATCTATGATTCTGTTTCTTTTCTGCCTGTTTGTTTGTTTTTTTTAGATTCAATTGTTGATAGTTATGTATTTATTGCCATTTTATTGTTTGTAGTTTCGATCATCTTCTTAAAGAAGCCTCTGTAACATTTCATATAATACTGGTTTAGTGGTAATGAACTCCTTTACTTTTTCTTGTCTGGGAAGCTCTTTATCTGTCCTTCAATTCTACATGATAGCTTTGTTGAATAGAGCAATCTTGTTTATAGGCCCTTGCTTTTCATCACTTTGACTATTTCTCACCAGTCCCATCTAGCCTGCAAAGTTTCTTTCGAGGAATCAGCTGGCAGTCTTATGGGAACTCCCTTGTAGGTAACTAACTGCTTTTTTCTTGCTGCTTTTAGGATTCTCTGTTTTTATTTAACCTTTGACATTTTAATTATGCTGTGTCTTGGTGTGGGCCTCTTTGGGTCCATCGAGCTTGGGACTCTCTGTGCTTCTTGGACTTGCATGTCTGTTTCCTTCACCAAATTAGGGAAGTTTTCCGTCATTATTTTTTCAAACAAACTTACAATTTCTTCTTCTCTCTCTTCTACTTCTGGCACCCCTATGATGCCAATGTTCGTATGCTTGAAGTTTTCCCAGAGGTCCTTTACACTATTTCATTTTTTTAAATTATTTTTTCTTCTTTCTATTCTGATTGGTATTTTTTTAACTGAGTGTATACCTTTTTTATTTTTAAATTATATTTTATTGATTATGCTATTACAGCTGTCCTAACTTTAACTTCTTAGTACGCCTCGACTCAGCACACCCCAGTCCCTCAGGCAATCCCTACACCATTGTTTGTGATCATAGATCATGCATAGGTTCTTTGGCTACTCCATTTCATATACTGTATTTTACATCTCCATGGCTATTCTGTAACTACCTATTTGTACTTCTTAATCCCCTCACCTTTTTTGCCCATCCCCTACCCACCTCCCACCTGGCAACCATCAAAATGCTCTCTGTATCCATTATTCTCTCTCTTTTCTTCTTGTTTGCTTTGTTTTTTAGATTCAATTGTAGATAGCTAAGTATTTTTGCCATTTTATTGTTCATGATTTTGACCTTCTTCCTTTTCTTAAAAAAGTCCCTTTTACATTTCATAAAACAATGGTTTGGTGATGATGAACTCATTTAGTTTTTTCTTATCTGGGAAGCTTTTTACCTGCCCTTCCATTCTAAATGATAGCTTTGCTGGGTAGAACAATCTTGGCTGTAGGTCTCTGCTTTTCCTGACTTTGAATATTT